CCTTCCTTCTCTGCTCAACATAGCTGTGTATATTTCCAACACCAGTCTGCTTTTACCGGTTCTCACGGTCTCTTCGTCTGCGGATTTCTTATATTTTCCTTTCTACCCTGAAGATGGAGGCGATACCTTCCTCCAAAACGTCCGTTAACACCACATATACACGGTACCAAATCCCAGAAGACTGCTTTCTTCATAGTCACCGCCGTGAAAGCTTCAAATCTTACATGAATTATCATATTTACTACTGTATTTTTCTGTGAGCTGCTTGTTCCTTCGACTTTAATGGCATCACATTTGCTCGCCGTTACAACACGTGTTTCACAGTTGGGTTTAGCATCACCTGCTTCGTTTGCTTTTCTTTTCAAAGTCCCTATTCTAAGCCACTTTTCCATTATTAAAAATGTTTCCGAAAAATATATAAACACTGGAGTTTGAAGGAGGAATACTGTCAGCAATAAATAACAATAAACAACAAGCAATTGGTTGAAATGTGCATAACACATGTTTGCTTCAAATCTAACAAAACAGCAAGGGAAGGCGGGAGCAATAAAACCATATTTTTCTTCACTGCACCCCTCTTTTATTACGAGTCGAGCAATTATCGGCGCGGTCCCTCCTCTGAAGTTAGTGCCAATGCAGTCACACCTTCATACCCTGGAAATACCGGATTCTTGTCTGGTCATTTAAATGTTCGTGGAATTTAGAAAGCTTCTTTTTTTAGTTACCATTTTACTTCAACGATCTTTACTTGCTTATTTAACTTTAATTTATTTTGTTTGAATAATTTTTAATTTAATTTAACTTAAGTCTGCTTGCGGACCACAGGTTGAGAACTGCTGGCGTAGAACATCCGTGAAACGCTTCGTTTCGCTCAAGTTTCTTAATCTTAGACGGTTGGTAGGACTCCTTGAACGGGGGATCAGCCCGACACAAGGCCGCTACCAACACAGGACAATACAAACACAGAATAAACGCATGCAGACATCCTGGCCTTGGGTGGGATTCAAACCTATGATCCCGGCGTTCGAGCGAGCGAAGACAGTTCGTGCCTTAGACCGCGGGGCTACTGTGATCGGCAAGTCAGCATACATACAGCTATATAAATACCTGAGGCCAGGCTATGTCGAAGGGAGCTAACAGGGAAATATGCAATTAAAATTGTGAGAAAGCATGCATAGACCTGAAACTAAGATAGAAAGGGAGGTGTGATCTCTAGTCTTCAGAATACCGGACGATGGACGAAGTCCCAAAACCCAGTAATTCTGACAAGAATTATAGTTAGATTAGATATAGTTCTGATTATGGAAATATATCCTCATTCACTGCTCATTATACTTGTAATGTTGTTTGTTTCAGATGACTGGCGTTCTCTGTTCGTGCTGTTTGTTAAATTCTCTCAGGAACGAAAAGCGACGAAACAGAGTACGAAATGTAACATCGTTAAACAAGGACTGAAAATCGATGGAAGGTGTTCTCATGGATCTCAGTGGATCATTGGTCTTTGAAGAATATTTAAAATTTATCTTAAACGATTATATTGAGACAACTTGAGCTAAATCAGAGGCGGGAATTTTCTTTTTTAATTCGCTTAGTGGGGGGTGGAGTCCAACTGTGTCCACTCGGCCCGGCGGCCACTGATTGGCCTATTGTAGCCTACCCCGGGTGATTATGATGATGGAGAATTTGGTGGAATGAAGAATGGCAGGGAAAACCGAAGTACTCGGAGAAAACTCGCCCCAGTGCCACTTTGTCCACCACAAATCCCACTTGACCAATCCTGGGACCGAAGGGACGCACAGTCACTTTTACTCGGGGGGGGGAGGTGCTAGCTAGTAATGGCCTGGGATGGTTAGTCGGGCATCAGAAATTCAGACAATAAAAGAAAATGTTCTGATCTGATGTACTTCATATATAAAAGTAAGTAAAGGTATCCCTGTAACAGGCCGTGGAGGCCCATAGGGCTGTGAGATGTTGAGGTTCCCACATTTCATAAACAACTGACTCATATGATGGTAAGATTGTCAGCCTTGCGCGCCGGCCGCCCCTTACCCCCAAGAATATTCCTGGTACTCATTTCTGNACCGAGGTTACCCCTCCATACGTCTTCATGGCTTAGTTCTTAATTAATTAATCATAGGGACAAATTTACTTTTTCATTTTGCCAAAAGACATAAGAATAATATTATTGTACCTAGTAATTTATCCTGAACACTGCTTAGTGCTCGCTGAAACACGCATTAGAATGAATCTTCATTGGGTTCCACTCAGCTTTTTCACACCCAGTTCTGTGTGTGCCCTGCAGTAAAGAAAGAATTTTATGTAGACTCAATATGGACTCTGAAATAAGAATCCCCATCACGTAAGGTTTCTCCTTGCTTCCCGGCTGAGGGACTTGTTTGTGACTAGATACAGGTATCTGAGTTACGTAAATGCTAAAGCTCTCCCTGCCTGAAGCAACTACGCTACCGCGTGCCCTCCCTCCAGCACAGTTACGTTCGCGTGTTCTAACGCCCATTTCGGTTTCATTATCCATGGAGTTCTAGAAAATAGTATTATTTCAAGATGACAAAGGAAATTAATTTGTTTCTTCCTACAACTTATTTATCGAGGTGTCCGTTAGATGCATATTCAGTGAAAGATGCCTCTCTCAAGCCTGGTGTTACCACCTACGAAAGAAATATGTCAAGCTATTTCGTAAACAACATTTGCAACAGACACATGTGTATCATGTATCAATACAACAAAAACAATAAACTGCGTGGCCTTTAGACCGCAAAGCGAACTATACCGACCGCTGCTTGTCGGCGAAGTTAGTGCCAACTTTTGCGGATAGAGGGTGTCGTGTGATCAGCCCAACGGATTCCCACGGCTGTTAATCTCGGTTTTCTAGACCGCAGCCGCTACTTTTCGATTCAAGTAGCTCCTCAGTTAACCTCACGAGGCTGAGTGGACGCCGTTCCAGACCCACTACTTCTCAGAAAATCTAGTAGTGCCGGGAATCGAACCCGGGGCCTCTGGATCTCTATCCAGGAACTCTGACCACTAAACCACAGAGGCGGTCCACAGTTACGTACACGCGTTCTAATAACCATTTCGTTTTAATTATTCATGAAGATCTCAAAAATAGTATTATTTAAAGTTGACAAAGGAAATTATTTGTTTCTTCCTACAATTTATTTCTTGAAAAGTTGTTGGTTACATGCATATTTAGTGAAAGAAGTTTCTCTCAAGCCTGGTGTTACTGCCTATGAAAGGAAATAATATCTGTTTCATAAACAACATTTGTAACCTGTATCAACACAAGAAGTAGGAAATGTTTAAAATGACACGTTCTACAGAGCCATGTCATTCTTAAAAAGACATGAATTACAGTACTGCAAACCCAATCTCTAGCCGGTCACGGTAGCCGAGCAGTCTAAGGCATGCACTGTCTTCGCTCGCTCGGAAGCCAGGATCGTGGGTTCGAATCCCACTCAGGGCATGGATGTTTGTGTACAGGTAGAGGCCTTGCGACGAGCTGATCACCCGCCCAAGGAGTCCTACCGTATGTCTAAGATCTAGTAAAACCGAAGTGAACGGAGAGTATCATGGAGGAAGGCCTAGGCCCAAATGAGGGCTGTAGCCCTCTATGCACTGGTCAGATCTCTTCATGGAGGAGCTTTCGGGATCAGCCTTATCGATTAGACCGGTTGATTGGCAGGGAAGAGATAAAACAAACTTGACCAATAGTACGTTCTCGACACAGTTTGCTAAGCTATGAAACTAGTGCCAGCAAAATTAAGTACCTAACCTCCTCTTGATCAGTTCGTCATATTCAGGCTTACCTTCTTGAAATGAAGTGGTGGAAAGGAATCATAACAGAGACAGAATGTTGAATTATGAATTATAGTAGACGAGAGATGGGGAATATTTTAAAGGCAATAAAAGCATGGATTAAGCAAGTGAGATTTCAGTGGGGATGGACAGTCACGTGATTCTAATCCTACTTAAATATTGCTCTAAAATTCTATGACAGTATTGCATTACTACCACCACTGACCCCTGCAGCTCTCGAATTAGTCCGTAAAAATGAAGAATTGAATAATAATAATAATAATAATAATGAACACACT